CAAAGATACATCTCTTTCAAAAGTGGCTGTAAATTTTTAGGTTCACAGTTGAATTGATGAAGTTATACAATATTGAATGCAGTATAAACCCTGTAAGATATAAAATTGAATGAGTTTTTACCCTTTAAAGAAGATCTGCATTTCAAGATGTGCTGTTTCCTACATTTTTTAATATTACTTTTAACTTTTTTTAGAAGAAGCATATCATTACAGCTTTAACATGCCCAATAACAGTTTCCAGAGCAAAGACACAGCTCCTTCAAAAGTGGCTATAAAATTTCTAGGTTCACTGTTGAATCAATACAGTTATACAATATTGAATTAAGAATAAGCCCTGTAAGACATAAAATTGAATGAGTTTTTACCCTTTAAAGAAGATCTGCATTTCAAGATGTGCTGTTTCCTTGCAAACAGACTCATTGTTTTTGCTCATAACACTGAGATGTTGGCACATGCGTCTCTAATCTGTATGTATCTGATTATTACTAATTATAATTGTTTCCACTCAGATCCTTGGTGCCTGTGTATGTCTATAAAGTCATCGGGTAGATTTCAGTGGTAATGTTCATCACCTCTACTAATTAACATGACATAAACTTTTATGTTTCCTCCTCAAATATAATACATTTTTTAAATTTCTTGATTTTTTTTCTGTGTGTGTATATCAGATGGCACCCTCCCATGGCCTCCCTGCCCCCACTAGAGCCCTTACACTCTGTTATCCCTGCTACTGTCCCCGGTGTTGTTGGCACCCCTAGACGTTCCCTACTACCCATCTGGTGAATCTAATCAGCCTATCTAGAGGTCTTCATTTTAGGAGGGTCAGCTGTTGCTCACCTAGCAGGAATCAGTTAATATTCCTTTAGGTAAGATTGGGGTTTGCTGTTCATTTTCCTAGTTTTATGCTGGGTTTCTCTGTTATCCCTGCTACTGTCCCCGGTGTTGTTGGCACCCCTAGACGTTCCCTACTACCCATCTGGTGAATCTAATCAGCCTATCTAGAGGTCTTCATTTTAGGAGGGTCAGCTGTTGCTCACCTAGCAGGAATCAGTTAATATTCCTTTAGGTAAGATTGGGGTTTGCTGTTCATTTTCCTAGTTTTATGCTGGGTTTCTATCTGGGAGTCCCTTTGGCCACCCTCGCCAACAACTCAAAAGAAGGTATCTCCTATCTGGCATTGTTGCTTGTTATGTAGCCTTTACCTATACATATGGACTCTTAAAAAATTATATTGGCCCCTTTAATCTCTGGTTATACTTTCCTTTTGGGTGTTTAAGGCCATACTCTTAAGGCTGTTTGAGGATCTGTTCCTCAGGGGTCACATGGGCTTGGGAAGAGCCCCTGGCTCCTTTCTTTTACCAG